TTTTGAACACTTGGYGAAAGTGGCACATGAGACCTAAAGAAAATCGTGTCATAAAATATTATGTTGCTACTCCTCCCGAGAGCAGATTTGATACAAATTAGCATGCACGCAGTTCATTTACAATTTAAATTTACAGTTTCTAATTATCTGCACTGTGTGTGTGGTGAATAATGCTAAAGATAGGATTTATAATTCAGATAAGGCCTGCTCTTTATTTTTGGACATCTATGCAGGACACAGACCCTGGGCTGATGTGAAAAAAAATTAAATTTATTTTTGTAAATTATTACATAAAATATACATAGTTTATCTTCACCTAACAATTTATTTTATGTGGCAGTTTTTTAATTAAATATCCATTAAAATGACTTTTTTCTCCTTTAAAGGCACAGTGTGTAGGATTTGGTCAATTTTTTCAGCCGAAATTGAGATAATCACTAATGACAATAATAAAAAATCACGTCTAATCATTGCAGACAAAGACCTTGTTTTATTATTTTTACCTTATAAAAAGCTGTTTATATCTCCATGGTCGCGGGTCGCCATTACAGGCTGTTTATATCTCCATGGTCGCGGGTCGCCATTACAGGCAGCCGCCATCTTGCACCACCATCTTGTCTGCGAAGGCTCATGAAGGACAAACTGCGGTGGTGGCGTCAAAAAAGATTTTAGTTGTAATCCTATAAATGTAATATTTGTTGTCTGTCATTGTAGCTGGGATAATTTTCCTTATTAAAGCTCATAATCTTACCACTTGAAACATCACTAGTCCTGAAGCTGCTGGTAGCCGTCGCGGTTGGAATTATCAAAGGTTTTTGACACCTGAGAGACACTGTAGAAACTCCTTTGTGTTTGGAAGCGAGGTGTGGGGGTGGGGGGAGGACCAGGGAGGAGGATTCAACCACTCAACCACTAGATGTCACTGAAAACAGCAAATCCTACACACTGTGCCTTTAATTTTCAGCACATAATGCTATACATATTTTACAGAATACAAGCTGATTTACATATAAAAAAGTGCAATCTGCCCAGATTGACAAGCCAATGGTAAAATTTAAACCAAGACTCAGTTGGACTGTTGCTGTTTAAAAACAAATCCAATTTTTTACAATTTCACATCACTATAGGTCTGATGTAATAGTACACTAAAAAGTGAATATATTTCTGAAAATCCAGCCATAAAGCAATTTAAAACATTAAAAATAATATTTGATGGCCACTCAGAGCAGCACAAACTATTCATTTTCTTTGTTTCCAGTGGTTCCATATTTAAAAGTATCTTGGAGATGAAAACTTTCGAAAGCAAACTCAGCTCCTGCGGCGATGTCATTAAACAACCTCTCCCRCGACAGTGATTTTTGAGTTAAATGATTATATTCTTCTGATTTAGAGTCTGAACTTCTGTCAGGCAAAAGAAGCAACCTTTCAGCAGAAGTACTTACGAACCTATAATCATTCTTTCACACAACAGGCACTCAGCTGAAGAGAAACTGGCAGAGCGTGTCTCCAGGTTAGACCTCCGAGTCTCTCCTGAGTCTGATACTCAGTCGTATAACTCAGACTAATTACTGGAGTCTGGCTGCTCCTCATCTGTGGGGTTTTCATGATGCTGTCGATCAGGTGATCAAGTTTTGCTCACCTCATCATAACAAAAAAATTGTTTTTGAAAAATTTTAATGTATGCATATAATTGAATAATAAATCATTTGATATTCTATAAGACTCTTTCTTTAAGTTTATACATGATTTATAATTTAGTGTTATCACCTGCAACAGAAAGTGAAAAGCAATGTTTTTACCCGTATTATTCTTGTTTCTGTCTGTTTGTCTGAGCATTTTCTCCAACACATACCTCAAGCTCCACACATTGGTGCTTGAAAGATTAGCATAAACTGTTGATGTTAACACTGTCCGTCTGTTGGCAAAATATTTTGCGAACCAGTGGACTAATAATTACGTAACTTTCAGAAAATAATCATTACATGTACCTCTATACCTGATTAACTTTTGGCATTATTCCACTATAAGATGCCTGGCGCAACAAGTCAAAATTAGTCAATATAAAAATGACCATAAGTCAGTCAAAATGACAGATATTGACTTAAAATTTAATGCAGTTGTAGCTGAGTCATTTAGAAGTAACAGAGAAATTTAAGCATAAAATCTCCCAAAATGAGATAATACGTGAAATTATCTTCTAGAATAAAGTTTTGACCAAAACAACTTCAAATTCAAGAAATAGGCCTTCATTTACTTTACTGTTTTTGATTAATAATCATCATATGTCATTCTTTAAGAAGCTTTGCCCATGCTTATGTTTTGTTTATTATGCATCAGGTTTTTTCATGTTTATTATCTGATTTTTATGTTGTTCCTTTGTTTAAACCTTGCAAGATTAGTGTAAGTGTGCTAACAAGAGGCTTTTAAATCAGGATTGTTTTTGTGCAGTTTTTATTCAGAAAAAAATATTGTTGAATATGGTTAAAGTGATGTATTTTAATGTGATAAATCAAAGAGAATTCAGTGCTGAGCTGCTGAGTGCATCAGGCAGAGAGCAATCAGACATGTAGGAACATAAGATAGAAGCTGAGCATAGAGGATTCACACCGTCTTTATGTAACAAGCATAAAACTGCATCAATTATACATATGCTTTGTTGTGTGCAGAGATATTGTTGTACACATAAATAATTTCAAAGACTTTATGCTTTRTATAATGGCAGTCCACATTCAGAACATGGTGCTGGTGAATAGGAATGACTGAAAAGTTGGAGCGATCCAAATTTCTGCAGCWGTGAAAAGCTCAGTGAATAAAAAATGACCTGGATTCTGAAAAGCATAAAATTAGAGCTGACATAGTTCTTCAATATTTCAAGCTAAAATTTAATGCATAGCTAGTAACACCACTTTTGACAGGTAAAATAACTTTAAACATTTTTTTTAGGTTTTTCAAATATAGATTAAAGTATGAGTGTTGTTTTTGTGCTGTAAACTGAGGGAACAGATCTTTAGACTTATTTTAACCTTTCTCGGTTTCTCTTTGACTTCCATCATTCCTGATGAATACCATTTCCATCCTGATCAAAGAATTTAATGTAGTTTGGATTAAATTGACTTGTTCGGTTCCAGTAATGAGTCATTTCCTACTGGAGGGRTAAAGTTTGGTCTTTGTTTCCCTGTGTCTTTTTTATGCAAGTTTCTGTTTATGCTTAGTAAGAATTTTCTTCTTTTCTTTTCTATTGTGTTTTGAAAACTTYGTCTTTAGTTTTCTTTTATATTAAGTTTTCAGGGTTGTTTGTTACTAATTACCATGTACTTCATCTTTWTTTGTAATCAGCTCTTCAGTACACATTCAGCCCAGTTGCTTTTGTTCTCTGCTTGCATTGTATTGGATCTCTTCATAGACTGCATATATTATATGTATATTATGTGTATACTGGTGTGGAACTATGGGCCTGGAAAGCCTTGCATTCCTGAATAAATTACTTACAATTTTTTAGACCCTGCATTCTCACTTTTTATAGTTGATTGGAATTGAAAGCAGCAGGATCTTGTTTATAGGTGCTAGCATCTTGTGTTTTCAGAAACTGTGCCTGTGAAATGGTGTTATGAGGCTTTAGGTCCCGCCTACTTCCTCACACATGATCATGATGTTACATGACATTTCTTCCAAAGATGAAATAACTATCCATTATCCATCCATCTAGCCAGCCTTCCATTTTCTCCATCTGCTCTCAGGGCTGTAGGAAGCAGGTGTCTATCTTCAGCAAACATTAGGTGAAAGGCAGTGTACACCCTGGACAGGTCAGCAGTCCATCACAGGGTCACATGGAGACAAATGAGACATTCACTCTCATCTAGTGACAATTCAGAGCCGTCAGTTAACCTAACCTGCATGTTTTTGGTCTGTAGGAGGAAACAGGATCACCCAATGAAAACCCATGCGTTAACAAGAACAGGCAAACTTCACGCAGAAATGTTACAATCAGGTTTTAAACCATCAATGGCCATGAATGATTGTATTACCAGAAGACAAGTAGCTACTAATAAAAAAAGTCTATGCAGATGTTCTTCCCGTAACCTATTTTGTGCAGACTAAAAAATATATAAATAAATAAAATAAAATAGAAATAAAAACTGAACTAAAAGACACRCTTTTGTTATTCATTTAAAATAAAGAAATAAAAATTTGATGTCATGGTAGAGAGATTATACACTGCTGGGTCACAAATGCTGGCAAATAAGTGGTTTCAAGAATTAAATATGTCTGGGACTGGGGTTTGCTTCTTTACGTCAAAGTCAGCCGGCAGCCTTGCAGTGATGCTATCACCATAAATCTGTTGAAGTTGTTCATTCTCCTGGGGTGTCCCAGAGTGAGTGACTTGCCGGGTGAAACAAAAGAAAGAAAAAAGGAAGCTAAACCAAAAAAATAAAAAAAACTTTTCCCTTTTAAGTAAGATCAAAGAARAATCTAACAAGAACTCTTTTAAACCTTCCATTAAAATGCACTGCAGACTGAAGAGGTCACATCAGACTGTGTTTATTCCTGGGTTAATGCACGAGGAGAGAGCCATTTCCTAAAATTACTATCATTATTAGAGCTTTTGTCAGACCAAAGTGAAAACCGCGGTTACAACATATTTGCACTCTGTGTGCCTCCTAGTCGAATCTGCATGGCAATCCATCTCTTCCAATTACATCCTGGGTAGTGTATATCAGAGAACTGAAGCCTAAGCACTGGTTAAAGGTTTGGGTAATGATACATGTACACCTTCTGTGCATTTTTAAAAGCATTTCTGCAACAATATTCCAGTTTTATGCRTTTTATTGCTCTGAGGATAGAGTCTGTTAAATTGGAAGAAATCAAGCTTCCTGGATGAAAATGACCCAAGGTTAGTAACTGGAGCGCAATGACAGAAAATCGTAAAAAAAGAGTATGGGTGGGGGGAGGGTGCGTCTAACACTCACTGATCAACAGACAGGAAGCCGCATCACACTTACCTGCAGTGCCTGTGGACCCCTGCCACAGTTTTGATGATTGAACATTCGCCTTCATTCAGRCAAAAGGCGAGGTCCTTGTCCTCCACACATGGCTTGAAGACCTCTGAACGCACACTGGGAAGGGTTGGCGCCATGGCTGCACACACACACAAAAACAACTCGGTTAGTTTTGAATTGAATCGAAAGTAATTTATACATGTGTATATTTTTGTTGCACATTCTAAAGCAAGCTTGGTTAAGGCTCTGTTACACCATGATGTTTTAGACAATTAATGCCAACTTGTGAAAAGTTTGTCCAACACTAAATATGTCTAAGCTGAAAATTGAATTAAAAAAAAATCTACTGGATGACTCTTTTGGACCTACATACAGTCATTCTTACAATTAGATCAAATATAGCCAATATGAATTAAAAAGACAAAACAAAATTTTCATAAGTCGGCAAAAACTGTCTGAAAGGTKATAGTGTGACAGGACCTTTRAGACCAAAGTGGATTGTTTCMATCATGAAGCAGCAGTAATCCTAAAWGTTTAAATGCTAAAGGTTCAGGTGTGCACTGCACACAAACCAGTTCTATTCACATTGGAATCTAAGGTATCAGAGCTGGAAGCAACAGCAGCTATATGCAACAGCTGTATGTTACAACCAGAGACATTTAAAGCAGGAACATTATGACAGATTTTGCCCCTAAAAAATGTACAAAAAATAAAATTGGAATTAATAGTTTTTCACAGATCCYGACACTTTCTACAAAACCCCTCATCAAAAGATCTGGACAATCCCTTTAAATCAAAAATGCTTTTGATGTTTTTCAGTCTTTTTGTTCTGCACTGAAACAGGTGATCTTGTCAGTCTGGATGWGATGACTTTATTAYAGATTTAAGAAACWTAGATGATTTTATTTAAGAAAAGAAAACTGATTACAAAGAGCATTTTCAGCTTGAAGGTTGCTAAATGTTTGAAATGATTGCAACATATGCTTTAGAATTGTTTCATTGTAATCAGAACTAACCTGCTTCTTTGTCTGTTATTTATAATTAAAGTGTACACTCTGTATTTTGCTTTCTGTTCGTTTTMAAAAAGCAATTTAACCACAACTCCCACTGGTGACGTTGCTGTTTTCTGCCACATGAAACAGAACGGTGAGAGGAGAGGGTGAGGCCTGTTGATGTGTCTCTACCTCCTCCTCTGCCTGCCTGAGCCTAAGCTGCGCTCTCGTAAAGACCACGGCTGCCGTGAGCCAGCACTGCAATGCAGGGTTCTCCACCCAGTGAAATATGCACAGCTGTCAGCCAAGTTATCACAGCAGCATAAATATTCCGTGTGTGACTTCGCACTAATGAGCGGGAATCCAAATCACCCATACACAAGGACACACTTGCATACACAGAGCCGGCTACGAAGAAATAATCACTCCAGCTCTCGCACTTTGCGTAGTCAAGCATTGAAAATGGGATTGACTGGTATTATTCCCGATGCTACACCAATACAATTGGATTACACATGATTCTCTATTCATCCATTTACTTATCTGCACCCAGTCACACCTTTTCCCCCCAACACACACTCATTCAAAAGTATTATTCTGGTAATCATCGTTCATTTCATGTGAATCTGCCCCATCTTTCATGCCTGATCTGCTCTGGATTGCACACTTTTGTTACCAAATGCCTTTTTTTAAGCTGTGTTCTACTTACCATCCATGTGCGGGAGGAGAAAAAAAAAACAGTACACACCCGTTGGTTTTGCCTCAGTGTCCAGCTCAATCTGTGTTTTGTTTATGGCTATTGATCGATAAATCTGGGTCTCTTGATGTAAGGCCCCAGAGATGATGAGCGATCAAAGAGAACACAAAAAGAGATGTGCGGTGCTCTTGGGGCCAACCAAGACACAACTCCTTTTGAGCGAAAACTTTGAAAGAAAACATTTACTGTATTGACTCGAAAAGTGCCTCTTCAGAAGCCAAGACGAGGATGCCCGATTTATATATTAAACTGCACACAAGTGTACATAGATATATATTTATGCTACACGTTTGTTGCCTAGTTCCTATTTCTCAGCCTCTGGTGCTGCTGCAAGTATAGAAGTGTGCTTTCACTCACTTAACCGGATTGTATGTTGTATTATTAATTCCCCAAACTCCCAAAGTGAGATATTCCAAAGGTTATCTATTCAAGGATGCAACTTTATTATTAGAAAATAGAACACAATWTTCCCTGTGGTACACACATCTCTTGCAATAATTGTCATGGTCTTCAGAGTCCCTCCTATCTTCCATTCAGAAAGCAGCAGTGGGTAACGGTGCATGAGAAAAACAACACATTTTATATTTAAAGATAATTTCTCTATGCCGAGTCAAAGGTCAGAGTTTAAACACACGAGGAGCTTCCAAGAGTTTCAAAAACAGGAAACTAGTTTGTGTGTTTTTAAGTTTAAGTTCTACTCTGTTTAATCAAGAACTTCAAGGTCGTACAACTAAACATATATTAACACACAGGCAAAGTTTACAAAAAGTCTGGACAACGTTCTCAACAGACTTCTAAACCTGTCCCCATTTTTTTAATCCTGAGAAAATCAGTTTCTGTGAAATGCTCTACCCAGTCGCAGGGCCCAAATATGGCTGGGCAAATGCTAAGGGCACCATCCAGGGGGCACCATAAATAGGGGACAAAAATTATTTTATAGGTTTTTTTTCTGAGTATAGTTGATTTAGTCTGTTATCATCATCATCATTCAGGTTTATAAAGGTAGGTTCTTTTTTTTTATTTTTGGTTTCTCAGCTGCTTTGTTACAGTATGAGATGTTTTACAGAAGATATTTTGTGATAAAAAATATATGATCCTGTCAAGATTAATGGTGCTCAGTGTGCAAAAAGAAAACAAAATGAGGATAATTGGAATTCTGTTATGATCTCAGACAAGTTCAAACTAAAGCTTTTTAGTGTTCTACCTTCATAAAATTTATGTTGTTTTATTAATCCCAAGAATTTAGTGAAATGCCCTTCAAATGGATGGAATATGAATAGTTTAGAGTAGATCTTTTTTTAATTTTTCTTGGGAGTACACCCCTTGACACCCCCCCCTCCCCCCTAGAACTACTTCAGTCCACAGCTGCTCATTAACATGTAAAGGTGTTCTTCTTTGCTGTCAGCACATGTTGGCAGGTGTGAGGTAGACTTCTGATATTCTGTTTTAAATGATTTACACCAATAACTATTTTAAGTGGACAACCTGGTTTCTAAAGATAAAAAACACAACAGCAAAGACAAAACTATTTCATTTGGTAGGTGAATGGATGTACAGTAAATTGGTAATGAAATTTAGAAAATTGCACACAAAAAAACTGAAAACTTACCAAATTGTTTAGGGCTGGCCCTGCCCAGTTGTCTTATTGACCTGTTGGTAATCAGTCTAATTTATTGTGAAATGCTCTTCCATTTATCTTTTTTATCACTTTTACAGACTTTTGTTTGCCACTGGTATGTCTTCTTTTAGATAAGTTGCTGCCAAAAAATTCAAAATTAATATTTGTGTTCAAAAATGTGTGTTCAACATTTATGTTTAAAGGGCCAATATTATGTGTTTCTTAGGCATACATTTAAATACTATACCATAATGAAGTATCTATGTCACCTTTAGTTGTTATTAAAATGCTGTTTTTATGTTTAAGTAGAAAATAAACTTATCTAAATACCTTGAAATTGGCCTCTGTCTCTTTAAGAACCACCTTTGCTACTGTCTCGCCCATTTCGGTGCGGGGGGCTGGGGGGCTGCCATGAAACAGTTTACATGGCATCTGAAAATACATTTCCTCAAAGGTATTTTTAATCTGAAAAGTGCTTCACTGAGTGAGACGTAAGGAGCTCGGCAGACAGTTTAAGTTTCACTTTCACCCGAGAGCCTGCAGGAGACATGGGCGCTACATAGGGGCGGGGTGTGTA